GAAAGGTAAACAAAAAGCTGGAATTACAAGGGAAAGTTTCAAAATTCAGAGGGATACTATCCGATCGGTATCGGATTGAGCGTCGATTTTGACATCTCCCGTGCTCTGAAAGGTTTCGAATTGTCACCTGAAGACAAGGGAAAATCAATTGGTATTTGTTATTTTCCATCGTTTCTTTTTGTTTGTTCAGTAAAGTGTTAGTTATCCGATCATGTGTTCGTTGTCCAATTGTAAAAATCTTTTGCAAAAGTGTTCATTATCTGATTTGTTCGCTATCCGATCACCTACCGTATTGAAAAAACACAGGTTTCATTCAAATCACATAAAAAACAAAACTTTTCTATCAGATTTTCTCTGTCCGAATTTGAAATATAGAACAACCTTCAGATTCCAGGACAAAAAAAAAATTATATTATTTTTCTAATTAGTTAAATATCAGTATTTTTTGAATGTCCCACAGAAAAATGTTTCAATTCCAGGGTTTCATAATATACTTTGTTCTCTTGTCCCATGGGTTTTGTCCAATTGTTCAAAAATTTGTAGGTTTATTATTATTAATAGAATTTGTAGATAAGCAATACAATTCCATCCACTCAGTTTGCTCAACCAATTTGTTTTGCTCTCTCGTTGGCTTAATTCTTGCTTGCTTTACTCAACCCCATGTTCTCTCCACTCCCTTCCCTCAACCTCCATAGAGGTGGCCCAAGTCCTCATTAGCTTCATCCACTTCAAAAGTTTTGTGGCAATTCATTGATTCCTGATGTTGCCATTTCTTTTTCTCTTGCTACAGTAGGCAGCCTAACATTTGCTCACTTGTCCCCTAGGCTTTGCCCAGTTATTTCCAATATAGACTATTCATAACAAAATTTTATGATGATTTATCCATGCTGAAAAAGTATTGTGAAAATTTTAAGCTAATTATTTTATCCAAATCACTTTTTGTTTGTTGACTTATTTATGTTTTGTGCTAGTGCACTTATCATGTAGATGGACTTATCACACTGGACGGTCATGGAACAGAAAGAAATTGATACACTTTTTTCATTTCCTATGTATTTATTGTGAAATCCATTTTGGACCTATCAGGTCCTCATCAGTCACTATACATAGATTTCAATATTCCATACGAAATATAAATATGGTGAGTTTGTGTTGTATCATAGTGTCACAAGACAGTAATTTACAAACATTCAGTACATCACTTTTTCACATTTACTTTAACATTGCCTTTGGATGTGTTTCCCTCTGGCTTACAAGTATGCATTGGTTTGTTTATTTTTTTTCTCTCTTCCCCATCTGTTAGGAAACCCTCCATGTATCTATATGCCTGTGTTTTCATTTATTCATTTGTTATTTTTTATTTTTATAATTTATAAGTGTTCAAATAATTTTCTTTTAAATATGTTTTCTTGTGTTTCTGGATTTTAATATTAACTTTTATTATTTTGCATCCATTTTTGATTGCAGTATTTAGCAACTGCGGATTTAGCCAGAGGAAAACATACCTGAAGGCAACATTAAAGCAGATGTAAAAAAGTGATTTACTGAATGTTTGTAAATTACTGTTGTGTGACACCATGATACTGTGGTACATGAGAATATTCCAATATTGAAATCTATGTATAGTGACTGATGAGGGACCTGATAGGTTCGAAATGCATTTGTCAATAAATCAGGGCTGTGGAGTCAGTAAAAAAAACACTCAACTCTGATTCCTGACTCTGACAAAATGAAATACCAAGTCATTTTATGGGGTGCAGAGGTGCTCATAGGGGGTTACCCTACTCTGAACTCTGAAAGGAGTCCTGGGAATTTACCAAAATATTTTTATAGTTAGTATTTTTAATATTTAACTTACATTAATATTTAATTGTATAAAAAAAATTAATTTTTAACAAATATTTAATAAGAGGAAACAGGGAGAGTGATAAAATTCTACATTTACATATCTTTATTCCATGGCTTTTGCACTCCAATTTCACCTTTCCAGAAAAGTTAGTCCAACTAAAAAGTGTAAAATCTAGTTACTTCAGCTCCTTGTTCAGAAAAGAAAAATGTATACTCTGATCAATTAGTCTGACTCATTCAGAAAAATAGAGTACAGCACTTATTTAGAGCAGGAATAATAAAGGGAGGAATCAAAAATATTCAAATTTAATTGAATTTAACTACTAGACATAAATACAGTAGAGCGTTGATTATCCGAATCAATGGGGACTGGGGTTGTTCGAAAAATTGATTTTTCGGATAACTGATTATGTATGAAAAAATACATTATTAATATAGTATATTAGTATATTCCAATAATAGTATATTAATATATCCCATGTTTAAATTTTTCTCTGTTGCGTGTCGCTTCACGTTGAATTTTCGTCAATGTTAAGCCTAATGAAAAGTTTTATAATAATAATAATTCTGGCTATTGTATCGTTAAAAATTATTTCTTTATTTTGTACAAACAAAATAAATATATTGAAAAATATAAAAACAAAAAATTATACTTTAGAAGTTAATCTAGTATCAAAAATGTTTGATTCAGCATAACGCAGTCCAACTGGAACACTTTCAGTTAACCGACATTTTGGTTGATTGGCATTCGGATAATCGATGCTCTACTGTACTACAAAGAAAAGTATTGATACATATTTAATAAATTAAATTGTTGCATTTTATATTTAAAATAAATGAATTATAACAAAATACAAAAACATTTTAAAAAATTAATAAATATAAAATNGTGAACCATGACCAACCAATCCATCTACTGGGGAATGTTTTATTCAGGTAATCATGGACATCCAATGCAAAATGGGGTGGTGCCCCATCCTCGACTCTTCTGGCCAGAAATTCCTCCCAACTCCAACTCCAAAGCCCTGCAATAAATACATAGGAAGTGAGAAAAGTGTATCAATTTCTTTGTTTTGTGACCATCCAGTCTGATAAATCTGCCTACATGATAAGCGCACTAGCACAAAACATAATAACCAAGTATTTTACTTATATAGAATAGATATATGTAATCTGTGATCTGTTCAAAAAGTTTGGAACTTTTCTCCATTTTTTTGGACATACCTACAACCTAGTTGTCCTTGTCTCCTTCAAAGTACGCTCCTCCTTTGTCAATACACTACTTCCAGTGTTGCAGCCATTTCTAGAAGCATGTCTGGTAGCATTTTTCAGGATGTAGGAGCACCTATTGCACATAGGTGCTCCTACATCCTACAAATTTTTCTTGATATCTTCAATCATCTGAAATCTACATCTTTTCAAAGTGGATTTAAATGTAGAGAAGAGGAAAATGTCTGCAGGAGTGAGGTCAGATGAGTTGGGTGGATGGTAAAATGCAGGTGTTCTTGTTTTAACCAAGAATTCACAAATCAGCAGAAATGAATGTGTTGGTGCATTGTCATGCTGCAGATCCATAAGTTTTTTCCAGAGTTCAGGCCTTTTCTTTCTAACACCTTTTCTAAGGTGCATTAGCACATCCAGATAATCAGATTCATTGTTTGTCCATCTAGTAAGAATTCAAGATGCACAATGCCTTCAATGTTAAAAAAGACCATCACATGAATTACCCTCAATCACTTGTAACACTGCATATGACTAAGGTGCTTAACACCTTAAACCTGCTTCAACATTTCATGAGTCTCTCTAAATTTTTTCAAGTTTGCAGCAAAATTTGATGATCTGCAACTCTTGCATGTCCATCATCTTGCAAATTATAGATCACCCTCTCTACATGAACATAAACAAAACTTCACAGCACAAGAACTAATTGCAGCAGAATAAGATGTGACTAGCAGGTTAAGAGGAAGATCACTGCTACTCAACACACATGATCGCACATTGTTACCTGATCTCATTAGCATGTTATTTAAAATGTTCCAGAACTTTTTGAACAGACCATATAATTCATTAAAATATTTATTTGCTACAATAATGATAATTTTTTGTTAATTACTTCAAGAAACAATATTAGTTTATATAATGTAAATAATAAACAGAATTTTTAAAATTAAAATACAGTAGAGCCTCGATTATCTGGACTAATTGGGGATGAAGGTAGTCCGAATAAGGGAAAAATTCAGATAATCGAAACAAATACTTTAATTTGTCTTTTAATGGTAATACAACACGTTTTCTTTTCAATGACATATTGGTAATATTAAAGTAAATACTGTATTTAAACCGTGATCAAATTTTCAAGAAACAAACGTTCGTATTGAATTTGGACTACTACTGACCAACGCTAACAGACTACCTGTTGTTTAAAAGGCCCTCTGGTAGCGCAAGAAGACGGATTTTATAAAATAAAAAGCAGTTGAAACTGCATTTTTATGAATAAAAATTTGATAAACTATCGTTTTATGACGAGTAAAATTTTTTCATCGCGTTCACGGCTTTTAAGTAATGTATAAACCTTCGAAACGCGAGGCACCTTCGGAGCGAGGCATAGGCGGTGGCCCACGTTGCCCATGCCTTATGCCATCCTTGGTCATAGAAATGATGTAATTTGAAAATAAATTATTTATAAATACGTATGTCAAGTTATATTTTTATTACGACGCAAAATATATTTAAGAGTTTATGGCCACTGTGCCGGGTGAGACGTTGTTGAAACAAAAAAAGTTATGCATTTCATCACATACATAAACAGTATCATAATTCGCCAAGTACAAATCAGCAAATTCGTAAAATTTTTGTTTATTTTGAACAATCCGGATAATCGAAAATCCAGATAATACAGGTCCAGATAATTGAGGTTCTACTGTATAATGAAAATATTTAATTGTTAGATTATTTGAAATAATAACAAAATCATATCTAATTTATACTTACAAATAATTAATTTATATTTAAATATATTTACAAAAGTAATATTGAATATTTACTAGAAAGTTAGATAATTGTTTAAATTTTTTTGTTATAAAATTTGTAAATAAAAAAAAAAGCATTAATAAATAAATTTTAAAAAATAATTTATTTGATTCATTATATAGTTTGGTAGCTGATGCTTTTTTACATGAAGCCTCGCCAGCAGCAGTCCATTTTATTATGTTTATTCCTGCATTAATGGGATTAGCTACCGAAGAACAACAAAATAAATGGTTGCCAGAAGCTCTAGAAATGAAAATAATAGGTTCTTATGCCCAAACAGAATTAGGTCATGGTAAGTAATTACATATTAATATAGCAGTTTTCAATGTTTTTGGGCTATGTATCTTTTTCATGATAATGGAAACTTTAAATATCTCTAAATATCCATAAATTGAAAATAGTAAAACAATGTAGTCAAATGGTTTTCAACAGTTACTCCATATTGATGTAATCATTGACTTTTTAATTATTAATTTACAGTCGAAAAAACTACAGCATTCATCTTAAAAATGTACACACAAAATTAATTGTAGAAAATAAACATTAAAGTAACTGAATTCACATGTTTGGAATACATAAAATACAGGGTGAACATAGTCTCTATACATTTCTGTGAAAATGCGAATTTATTAAATATCTACCATATACACTGCAACATGTAGACATGCAACATTAGGACTACAAGTCAGTACATATCTATGTGATTGCCCTCCAAGTCTAGGCACAGCCGCCAGCTTTCTTCCACAGACCGAAACATGCTGTTCAACATAGCTGGTGAAATTTTCGCCACTGCATCTGTAATTCGTTGTTTCAACTGCAGTATGCTGTTAATCTTCACCTGATACACCTGTGACTAGATAAACCCCCATGCAAAGAAATATAAAGGAGTCAGGTCTAGTGAGCAGGCCCACAGCCTTTGTGAACCATGACCAACCAATCCATCTACTGGGGAATGTTTTATTCAGGTAATCATGGACATCCAATGCAAAATGGGGTGGTGCCCCATCCTCCTGAGTCCTTAATCCCATCTTGTACCAACTGTGGCTCCAAAAATTGTTCCAACATGTCACAGTATGTGTGTCCGGTAACTGTTGTCTCTGCAAACATAAATGATCCATAGACCCTGGTCTTCGTGATTCCTAACCACATATTCACTTTCGGGGTATCTCGTTGCCACTCTCACACTGCATTTGGTTGTTCATTTGCCCAGATTTTGCAGTTGTGTCTATTCACATGTCCACAGGTGTGGAATGTTGCTTCATCACTGAACAACACACGTGACATGAGATTCTCATTTTCCACAGCATGTAACAGGTCATGATACACAGCCTGTTGGGCAGCATAATCCTCTGGTTCCAGTTTATGAATAATCTGGACGTGGTAAGCACATTTCTTCAAGGTGTATCGCAAGGTTTTCGTGATTGTGGATTGTGGGATACCCAGCTCCCTACTCAGTTTCCTGGTGGACGCAGAGGGGCTAAGTGTGATCGCATCCTCTGTGTCCCACTGTTTCTGGCATTATGGGCGGCCTCCCAGAATGTCCGCCCCATTATGGGCGGCCTCTTCTTCATCGTGAACACTACCCATACATTTAAATTTGTTAACCAAATTCTTTATTGCCAACCTTGTAGGTGCTGCCTTTCTAAATTTACAGATGAAATCCTCCTGCACCTGTTCATAGGACATCCTACGCAAATGGGCAACAAACAATGGCCATTCGTTCTTCTATGATGAGCAGTCTGTCCGATCACCTGCAAGAAAAAAAGATTTATCTATTATTTAACAGAAATGTATAGAAACTTTATGTTCACCCCGTATAAAGTTAGTAAAAAAAATTAGCAGCTTTTTAAAACTTGTTTAAAAAATTTTTGAATAACTTTTAAATTGAAAAACTGTTGATTTAGTATTAGTTTGACAGCTATTATAGATGTTTTTTAAAAATTTTTCTGGAAGAGCTTTGAGTATCATCAAGTAGTTCACTTATTCCAAGTTGGAAAATACTATATAAGTATTGAATATAAACTGCAACAGGATATTCAAAAGTTCACATGAAAACTTGTGTTTGCAGCAAAAACAGTTTAACAGCTGGTAAATTTAAATTAATTGATATTTGCTGCTCCAAAGTGTTTGTTACATTCTATTCTTTTATTTTGTTTAATTCTGTATTTTACCTGAAGATGGTCTTTAAAAAAGGTCAAAGATATTTGTAATTAAACTTTTTTGTTGAAAATCTTGAATTTTAATTTTGTTTAAATGAATTCTTTTGTATTATGAATGAAGTTATCTATTAAGTTATTTTACCTGTTTTTACTATTTTATTTTAGTGTAGAATTTATTATTGTTTGAGCAATAGCAGTCATGTCTCTTAGATTTTACCTATGCATCTTCAAAAAAAAATAAAGAAATGAATATTACCAGACTAAATTGGACAAATATTATCTCGTGTTTCTGGCTTTATGTTGTTATCTGCAGTGCTATGGTTTCTAGGGTACTTTCAACCTCTCAGGGTAATATTTAAGGTAGTCTTATATTTAGGGTGAATCTAGGGTATAACTGTGCTGTGATCTGATGCTATTACCCATTGTGCCACAAGCTTCACTGAAAAAGTTTTAGCCTAGAACTGTTCTGTTTTCCCCTATAACTGGAGGATTTTAGGATAGGATAACAAAAGCTAAAATAAAGCAGATTGGTGCTAGGTACATGGTTGTACACTGTATATTACACTCGAGTAGGATTTTGCTTTTCTCAACCTTTATGCCATTGGGCCATTGGCACACTACAGTACAGGTACAACTTTTGAATGATGTAAAAAGTTTTTGCCATTTATCAATGCTTCTCACTTTGTGGTAGACACCATGTATGACATGAACCTTGCCTACAAGCGAACCATTTCGACCGCACCTGTCAGCCAACTACTCCATGTTGTCTAATTTTAGTTTAGCATCATACCACACTGACATTGCCAGTACAGGTAACCCCCATATAACACGGCACTTCTATAGCACGGATTCACTCTAACACGGTTCGAGAATTGGTACCATCCCCCGTATAACACGGCACTTCTATAGCACGGATTCACTCTAACACGGTTCGAGAATTGGTACCATCCCCCGTATAACATGGTACTTTTATAGCACAGATTTACTCTGACACGGTTCAAGAATTGGGTAAAACCCTCGTACAACAGCAAATGTAATAAATTTTTACATACTTAAGTAATAATTGTTCACGAAAATTATTATTTTTGTGAACTATTAGTACTTAAGTATGTAAATTTTCTCTTCTCGCCTTCTGTCGATACACATGGTCCTTCTCGAAACTTGTTTCAATGTTGCCAGATCGCGACGCTTCTGCTTCTGATGTTGCCGAATGTTTTTCCCTTATTCCATACTTGCTTTATTCTTCATAAGTG